GGTATATCTTATGATTTTATTGATCACAGAAATATAAATATTTGATTATAAATAATAATTATCAACAGTTTTTTTTTTGTTTTTTTTTAACCTGATACTAACATTACTAATTTTTTCAATTTATATTATGCAAGTTAAGTGGTGCTAGCAGTTTTATTATTGGGTGTCATCAATATAGCTTTCACTGAAGTTGCTTTTTGGTGCTTTGGTAGTTGATATTGCATACTGGCTTCTTGTTATCTTACTATGCAAGTTAAGTAGTATTAGTAATTCATTGTTGAATATCACTAGTTTTGGTACTTTGTTGGTTTGGTATTGTGTTGTAGTGACGAAGTTGTTGTACTAGTTCCTCATTGCAAATAGTAGATATAATTTTATTTTTAGTACCAGATTTTGTCACCTTTGGTGGATCATTCTTTTCTTAAAAATTGTAGAATATATTATTTTATTGTTCGTTACTTTGTTATTTTTGTTTATAAATACATTATTGTCTTCTTTGTTTTTTTAGATGCTATTAAAGTGTCTTTGGGCTTTCTTAAGAAATTCCAGCAATTACTATAACTATTGTTAAAATATAGTTAAATTATTCTTGGAATCATCATAATTGCTGTTGAAGCATATTTAAATTATTCTAGAAGTTAACTTTGTATGAATTTGTTATTTTTGGCATTGCTGCATTTGATGTCATTATTGTTATATTCAATACTATTGTTAGTGCTTTTTTTTTTAGTTTTTGTGCTATTTACTATTATTAGCACTATATGAAAGTTTTTGGTTCATCACTATTAAATTTATTATAGTTAAGGTTAGGGTTAGAGTTGTTACTATTGTTTTATTTTAATTAAAGTAGAGTTAGGTTAGTTAGGATTAGATGCTTAGGTTTTGGTTTTTAGAATTGTTATACTGTTTATAGTACAAATAATAATTATAAATAAAAATTTTTATTTTTGATATAAATTATTGAAAGTTTTATATATACATGTGTATACTAGAAACCAGAAACCGGTTTAAGTCCAGAGCTTATTATTGTCATCTTACATAAATGTGTAAATGTATATAATTTTTTTTACACAATATACAAATATAGACATGCAGCATTATAGACAGAAAATACTGAAACTATTTTTTTGATCTTTTTATTATAGATATATCAAAATCGTAATTTTAGTCATCAAAGTGTATAGAAGTATGAGTCCTCCACTTCGCTTAGGACAATAAATATTATAGTATTATTACATATTTAATATATCATCGATATTGAATCTGAATTCAAATCATGTATATATATACATAGATTAATTATATGATTAAAGATATATTAAAATAAATTGTATAATATTTTATAATAAATTGTATAATATTCTGTAATAAATTATATAATATTTCATAATAAATTGTGTAATATTCTGTAATAAATTGTGAAATATTCTATATTGATCGTAATTATTACGCAATATTACAGTGCGTAATAACTTATATAAGTTTATGCTTATATATTTTACTGATGAAAATTAAATTCAAATTTCACAAAAAGAATATAAATATAAATACTAATTTACTATTACATAATATCCTTCAACTCTTTTTTATTCATATTGATCATTTTATCCAACCTATAAAATAAATATCATTTATTAATTGATAGAATTAAGCTCACAAGTAAAGAACATAAATACCTATTTATTATTTACATATAATGCTTTCAAAATCACTTTAATCACATTAATCGTATCATTCAGATTGTAGATATAAAGTTAATAACCAGTAAAGCTAAAATCAAGAAATACAAATAAGAATATGAATGTCTATTTCTTTTATATAATGTCTCTCAAATTATATTTGTATTAGTTATTTCACTTAGCCTATAATTATAAAAGATCGTTCATTAATCAGTGAAATAAAGTTATAATAAAAGTTATATCACAAGCAAAAAATACTTATTTGCTATTACATTATACCCTTTAATATTATTTTATTTATATTAATCATTCTATTTAGATTGTGATTTAAAGATCTATAAATTGTAAAACTAGAACTAAAAGAAAGTCACAAATAAAAATATAAATACAGTATTTATAATATAAATACTTACTATTATATAATTAGTTTATTTGAATAATTTAAGGGTAGAGTATACATAGATCATTTATCATATGATCTGCATGGCAAATTTTTTGTGTAACAAATTACATAGTA